GGTATTTCTTCTAAGCACTTACAAATAATTATATGGTAATTTTTGACAGGTTTATTTTCTGCAATTTAAATACTCAGCTTTACTGTGAAGAACATTTTATTCTCGTTTTCAAACATTTTCAGGTTGTAAAACTTAAAGGTACTTGGAAAGAAGTTTATAAAAATTTCTCTTAACATGCCAATATTATGAGATGAAGTAGCAATAAAACATTTACAATATTACAATATCTTTAAAAAACATGCCAATTAATTGAATAAGTACTAAATCACTTAAAATGCTAAAATAAAAAAAGAAAAGAAAACATATAATGATTGAAACTAAACTTTTTCACATAATTTATAGCAAGAGGTTGTTAATATGGATATGCATAAATATATGGAATTGGTAAAGGGGTTCAAGAAATGAAAACTAATATAAATTCGTGTCTAATAATAATTCATGTCATGTTCAAAATCATATAAAACAAATGCATATTAGCTGAAGTATGAGGCATATACACCGAAGGTGTGGACTATGTATTTAAATATACTTGTAGATATTAAAAAGCTCGTATATATAAATTTTTATGAATGCAATCGATTCATAATATTTCAACTGTTATATCACTTAATGGTGGACTATGCTTTTTTATTTGACATGAGTAATATTTAGCAACTCTGAATAATTCACGAAGATAAGCTAAAAAGGTATTTGAACAATAGCTTTACGATCAAATATTATATGTAGTTTATGCAAGTTGCTTAATCAATGATTTATTTTTTAATTGAATAAAATATGCGTAGCTAAATTTCGCGTTTAATATTAGAGATGGTTACAGTATGAATGATACTTTAGGAGATTAAGTACTACCTCTGTTCCATGGCAATTGTTATATCTATAGCATGAAATGTGTATCAAAATGTAATAACCATTATGGGATGGGGGTAATACTGAGTTACGCATCTGATTTAAAATATGATAAAATACACGAAAGGTATTTTGAGGTAAATGCTGAAGAAAAAGTAACGAATTTTGTAATCTGGTTATTTAATAATACTTCACCATACTGATTTGATCATATATATATAAAAAGGAAAAAAAGCATTTGATGATTTCTGCTGTATTAAACATAAAGAGATAAGCAGTTTTTAGAAGAGATATTTGATATTTCAGTAGTTGAAATAATTAAAAGAAAACTGAGATCAAAACTAAAATCTGATTTAAAAGAGAAAAGATGACGTAAGTACAATAAAAACAGTCGATAATAAATCATTTTTAGTAATTATTCATTTATAATTGTGAAATACGGAAAGGAACTAAATACAGCCATTATGATAGCAGTGGCTCATATAAACTTATATAAATCATATCTTTTATTACAGTGTCAAATATATAAACATCTATATATTCCACTGGTTAGAGTAAAGCATCCGTCAGTACTAATTGCAGTTTTTATTTCTATATGACTTATTATAGTTCACTTCTTAAAGAAACTTGAATCTATCATTCGGGGAGCTGTTTATCATCATTTTTTAAATCAGTATCAGATTCGTAGTTTTATTGATTAAACATTCTAGCAGTTCATACATTATACTTTTTAAGGATTAAGACGGTAGTATGAGTTCTAATAAGACAGTTGAATCTGCCATCTTAGCTGTTGCGCGGTAGCAGCCATGCAGAAGAAGATCGCTGGTTCAAAGTGATCTCCTATGATATATAAAGAAATTGCATCAGTATTTTTAAGTCATTGAAATATTTATCGCTGGATAGTAACTTCTAATTTTAATTCTTATAAAAAAATGAAAGAATCTATTAAAAAAAAAAGGAAAGCGCAGATTAATATTGAATAGTTACACTGTAAACTATTAAGGCATACGCATATCATACTTTTGAAAGAAAACCGTTCATCGAGTTTTAGAAAGCTTTTTTCAGCGAGCTATTTTGATGAGTTATTTAATCATAATATTTTACGAAATTTTTTAATGGATTTCTTTATATGCAATTAAGCATCATTTTCTAGGGCCCCACTGAGTTAAAAACAAAAAAGGTATTTCTAGATAAATGCTATTCATTTTCCCAATTATTACTGAATAACGATCTAGTATTTAATGATTAAGTATATATATATATATATATATATATATATATATATATATATAGAGAGAGAGAGAGAGAGAGAGAGAGAGTTATATATATATATATATAGAGGCAGAGAGAGTTATATATATATATATATATATATATATATATATATATATATATATATATATAATAATAAGGGGTGTTCCAATAACTTAATTATCATTTAAAATCGGTCCAAGTTACTTGTTATTAACTATGATTATTGTTAGCTCTATCATGTTTGTTATATATTAGCTGAATAAAATCATTTTATTTGTTAAGTTTTTGAATATGTGTACGCTACCGTAACTATTCAAATATTCTAAACGATTAACGCTTTATTGAAATATTGTTCTAATTTTAGTTATTTATTTTTGGGAGTTGTGTTGGATTTGAGTCCCTACTTGAAAAAAATTGTCATTCAAACAAAATTTAATTTTTCTCCTATTATATATAGATTTTCCTCTGTAGGTTTTTAAACTAATCAAAGTGTATTTTAAGCAAACCGAACATTAAGCAAATTCTACGTTCAGTAATGTGGTAACAGCTGATTAGAATACGGAACCTTCTGTGATGTTATATGCTCTACTTTCTTTGCAATAATTCTTTATCTTCGATATTTGTTGCTTACTAGCAAGAAACAGTCGTCTGCATGCAACATCAACTTATCTATAATCATTTTTTGTATTCTTACAATGTCTGTCACAACTTTTGAATATCATTATTATAGTGAGACTTTTATTTTAAACTTAGAACAACTTTTAAAGCTTAGCTTAAATAAAATATGAACAATAGCACAATGATTTTTATTTTATTTTTAGAACTCAAAACTATTTATTTCCTTAAAAATTACAGTTTCTCCTAATATTGGGTAATATTGTACTTTAAAAATATTTATCAATTTAATTTTATAAACTAAATTTTATGTATGTCTTTTAGCTGACATTAATAGAAAGTTAGCTGCTACAACTTATACACTAATGAACAATCAGATGTTGCAGTTGATATAAATACAAAGGAAATATCTATTAACTATAAAATGTTTTGATGTTTGACGAAAAGAATATCATATGAGGAATAGGGACGATTTGCATAGAATACAAACATCTCTAGAAATTTCAATAAAAGATTTGAAAATTTGAATTGACACAAAAACAGAATATATAAATTGTTAACAAGTACAACAAAATGAATAATGTATAAATATTGCATCAAAGTAAAAACCTTCGAATTGTAATGTTAATTAAAAATACAAAAGGTATAAACTGCAAATGATATAAAGAAAAGTTGATATCTAAATAGCTACCCTAAAGCAATTTGCATTGACTTGCATCTGTAGCAATAATTAATTATAATGCATATTTATGGATTTCCAGTATGGAACCCCCAAAAGTTGATATTGAGGTTAAATACTTTTAATTGTTCCGTTTACTACGCTACACATTACAAAATGATTTCGTCCAGAAGTGTATAGTTTCAAAGTTTCGATAATGTATGCTATTGCAATTCTTATTAAAATGAACAACTAAAATCTATATTTCACTAGTTATTAAAATACTTTATATAAAAATTAAATGGAAAATGCATAAGAAATAAAAATTGAAGAAAGTAAAAGATTCTGATAGAATTATAAATAACTGAATGATTGAAACAAATCATATATGTTATATGTAATAATGCAAATTGACTGGAATCAATGACGCCGTATGGTAAATATGTGTCTTCTCGATGCGTCATGCTGAGAATGTGGTTAATTTTATCTGGATCATTAAAAAAAATATCCACAAAATGAAAAAAAAAGTACATATTTCTCTAGACCTACGTATTTATACCGTTAAAGAAGATCAGCTGTTGGAGAGAAATATCCTTGGTGAACCAAGGTTTTACTCTTTGATAAGAAGAAAATAAGGATAATGAAATGTTACAAATATTAATGAAATGATTCCTTTATCTTTGTATCTTGCCACTCATATATGTGTTTTTTGTTTAATGTTCATTCTTTTCATATTTATATTGGCTACTCAGAGTGATAGAACAGCAGCTGATCAGAAAAATGTAAGATAAGAATTTAGTTTCTACTATTTTAAAGAGCAAGTACCCACACATTTACTTTAAAAACCTGTTGCTTATAATAGCAATATATACAAAATATATAGACAAAATTTCACCCTCATATTATCATTTTTGTTATTGTATAATCTTGTATTTGTTTAAAAAAATACTCTCGAGTTGTAATAGTGACTTTAATAGTTATGGAATTTTATTGAAAGTTTTGTATATACTTACCACTTTGTTGGCAGTCGGCATAAACATGCAAATTAATATTGATTGATTCTGGAGTTTTATAAAAACCAACATTTTGAAAATAGATCAACAATCAACATATAAATACGTAATCATTAAACAAATAATTGATTTTACCTGCAAAAGGATTTATCATTAAATACACGATCAAAAGATTTTGTATACAAAAGTAAAATTTAAATGGAAGAAATTAATGAAAAGAGAAATTAACTAATTGAAGCTCAGTTAATTTTTATAAGACTAAAAATATTATGGGATCATCGATAAGTAGAGGGAATAAAAAGCAGGTGATAAGTAGTCAATCAGTGTAAGACGGGGCGTGTAAGCAATTTAAAACCTGTAGAAATTGGATTGTTATATTTTCAGGTGTGCAGGAGAAGTAAGAAAAAAGATTGAGCGCAAGTCTTTAGTTTCATCAATTTAGAAGATTGTATTGCAAATGAACAACGTGGAGATTGATTAGCGGGGATTGGAAGGAAATAAAAACCTCATTCTTTGACTCAAGTGAGGAGACTGAACAGAAAAAATGGTTAAAAAGCTAAATAAAAATTGTTTGAATGGACATACAAATAAAAAATGAAAGAAAAAGAAAAATACTATTTGAATTTGTAGGAGGAAGTGTGAAAAAGAGTAATGATAGTGGTCTTATCATAGTAATAATAGTAGTAGAACGAATAGAAACAGAGACAGATGTAGCAGCAGTATGACGAGTGTGATGCAGGGAGGTACTCACCGGTGTGTTCACATTTGCGCCATAATCCCGAATATGTTCTTTTGTAAATGGCTGATGTATTATACGAGGAGTCCACCACTCGTTCAGACGTGTATAGCCAGTAGTCAGTGGCGACGGCGATGCACAGAAGGCCGAACGCAGCTCCGGCACAACTACTGGTCATGATCATTAGCAACCTTTTCTTACCACACACGTCCATGGTAGTAGTAGTGGTAGTACGACCATAAGTCTCCGCTGGCGATCTCGGGCGACGGCAGCAGCTGCAACAACAACCTCCGGAGTAAACTTTTCACCTCTTCGATCATTAGCAAATAGAATCGAGTTGGGATTGAAATACAGTTATGTGGGACCGCTTGTTGGATTACTGAGTCGCTTATACGGCGACCGTAACGGCAATGGAGGTTATGAATATATGTGTTAGACGTAAGGAAGAATAACGGGTGATAGGCCAATAAGTTTTGCTCTTACAATTGGCTGCTGTGCGTTAGTAACATTTCGGTTTCTTTTGGGCGAATCGGAAAAATTGTTAAAATTAAGAGTAGTTGTTTATTCTTGTTTTAGCACACGTGTATTTACTGGAATGTGTGAGTAAAGTGTGTTTGTGTACATGTATGTGTGCACGCACAAAAATGTTTGCATTTTCTGAGCGGAAGTTTTTACTGGCTAGTATTAAAAAAGAGTATTTCGGTTTATCCTTCATGCAAGTGCATTTTGTGGATGCGTCTTAATTGGTATAATATTTGCAGATGGTATCCTTTTCAATTACAGAATTACCGACGAACAATTTGGTCTTCGAATAATACGCGTTTACGTCTATTTGCCATTCTCTGGATATCATATGTGCGTATAAAATGCATGTATATAGAGTTACAAGTCTGTATTTTTATGTTTGAGAATGTTTGTGGTACTCTAGAATAATTATGTTTATGAAAATACTAGTTGCAAAGAGTCCAAGCGTTGCTGTTTATGTGCACTTATAGCTTTTAACATGTGCAACTGCGCATGCACTAGTGGGTACCTTACGGAATTTCGTGGCGGTTAACTCAGCAAGAGAGGATGGATGTAATAAATCAAAGGCAGCTAGATATATGCAAACGGAAATACATCACAAAGGAGAAAATGAGTGATTTCAACGGATAGAAACTAAATGAAAAAAAAAATCTATTTATTACTTCCGAAAGCATTTGCAGAAATGAGTGAAATAAGAGGAGAGTAGAATATAAAAAATATAAAGTAATAAAAATGTAAACAACTAAAACAAGATTAGAAAAGAGCAGTCTTGAAATATCTGTATTGCGTGGTGGTGCATATAAAGAATCGATGTGTCAAAGATTAGAGGAAGTTGGAAGAAATAAAAAGGAACGAACAAAGCCAAAATTTCACAGATCTCAGAGACGACGTCAACTCGGTGTTCTCCACCATTCGTGTAAAGTTCTTTCTGACTTTCTGAGTGAATATGGTTTTCTTATAGAAACGTTTATTACACTGGTTGACAGGTAAACATATAATTATAACATGTTACAAAATGGGGCATGCAAGTGCTTCGGTTAACTAAACGTAATTAATCAATTTCATCTACAAATAAATAAATCTTATATACACATATACATACATACATATATATATATATATACATATATATATATAATTTCAATTTGTAAAGTGTGTACGTACACACACACATAGTGCAAATACGTATGTATGCATGTGCATTTGAAAATGGATATATATATATATATATATATATATATATATATATATATATATATATATATATATATATATATATATATATATATATATATATATATATATATATATATATATATAAATTTAGGTTTCAGGATGCATTTTAGTTATAAGCATGCGTATTTATTTATTTCGTTAATTCAGATATGTGTGGATATATGTACATAGTTACATAATATTAATAATGACTAAAACTACTGTTGATACTACTATCACCGGGATAGATTTGTGTATAATCTATTATTTATTGAACATGTTAACATTAAGAAGATTGTAAACAATACTTCTAAGATATCACCAGTTTATTATAATCTAATTATCATACAGAAATAATCAAATCAACATTGTATGTAAATATCTACTTATATTTGTATGAAATATCTACTTCTATTTGATTTAAATCTAAGCTTATAAAACATTTATAAAATTAGGAATTTATTAAAATGGTTAACTTCTTCAATTGTCAAAGCTTTTCTAAAACTGTATATGCAATTGTATACAAAAAACATAGAAAATAAATATGCAATTTTTTATGTAAAAATGCATCTAACGATTCAAATACTGAGATTCTTTAAGCCAAGGAGACAAATACCACAGTTATGTGATTAAATGAGTATATATAAATACAGAAATGACTACCAGAATGCTTGTGGTATATCATGTATTTCTAAAACTTAGTGATTTATTAACGACCGACTTCTCTGTACATCTGTTTGCATACACTATTTTTACCCTCGGTTCAATGAGTATCAGAAAGTAAGACACTTGTTTCACACTTGCTTACACACGCATGCATTAACACACGCGCATACATACTCTCAGTCATGCACGCAGACACACACGCACGCACACACGCGCATGCTCGCGTGTGTTTGCACGCGCGTCTACACAGTAGAATAGACAGTGAAGGGAAAAAGTGTCAAACAGCTAAACCGAGAGACACTGAGCAAGAGACAGACAGGCAAATGGACGGAGGGAAGGACGGAGAAATAATTCTTGGTTTTTCTCTTCAATAAACCATTAGGAAGGAATCTTTAAACAGGTTTGCTGGAAGACAAATTTCGAAATATAAATGTCCATTATGATGTGCACTTCTCCAGCAAGTAGCTTGCCTTTTCAGATATGCGAAATTTAAGATATGCAATAATGATATGGTTTCTATTAGAGAATAATTGCAAGTTCTCACTTCTTACAACTGTTTCATAAAGTAATCAGTTGAGTCTGAGTTCAAGAGATTTTAGATTATTCTTGATATATCTTTATTAATCAACCAGTCTATGTATCTGTTTTGTCTCGACCTTACTATGGTTAGCCTATCTCTCTGTTTGAATAATGCGCGTGAGGGAATTATTAATTTCATAAATTGTTTTAAAATGTTTTAAGCATCTGAAAATAAGTTATTCAAATTAATATGTATGTCATATCCTTTTAGTATTATTTGACTATATTTATTTGTTGCGTATGCATAAACACATTTGGGTACACAGCAGATAGATAAAAGTGTGCGTGTACGTGTGTGCGCTCGCCCGCGCGCGTATGTGCGTGTGTGCGTGTGTTTGAAACCGAATATTATTTTGAGTAGGAATAAGATAAGAGAATCAAAACGATTTCCCAAATAGACAGATTCCTTGACTGTAAAGTAAGAGCCGGGTGCCAAAAGGTAGTTGTATACATCCAGAAATATCAGTACATCCAAGGAATTGTTAGTAGTTCCCTGATCATCAACTTCAGTGCTTGGTAAAATGTCAATAAGCCGGGCGAGTCACGCATCAGTAGCCTACTAGTCTACCTCTGCTTTTGGTGGTGCTATCATTTCAAACCGGCTTCTACAATTGGTTATTAATTCTAACAGCTGTAGTTGTGGTTGTAGTAGTGGTTATGACTGTGGTCGTTGCCACTCAAAGCCGGTTCCGAAATGAGTAGCAGAAATAGTTTTTATGTAATATATTATGTAGAAAGAAGTCTGTTCGCATTAAGCTAAATGACAATGTAGATTCTTTCTAGTATGACTGCAAACCACGTTGTCTTTGATTCTATAAAAGTTGATCTCTATGAGACTTTTCTTTCAATTCTTGCACAACCTCTCGTGTAAATTTAACCAAATTGATCTGAAAATGGAACTTCCGTTTATGAGAACAAAATAAAAAATTAATTTCGCTAAGAACCATATTATTTTATTGTTCTTTTCTATAGAGAATGAGTTAACCCTAAGCCTTTCAATGTTATTTCTAATACTGTTATTACAACTGGAATAGTTTTTGTAATTGACAGTCTGTTGAAGCTACCAATTAAATCATGAAACGTGAGTGATTATTGCTGATGTTCTGCAGATGCAATTTTAAAATTTTGCTATTGTTATGGTTGTTTTTGCAGGTGAAAGTGAAGTAGTGTAGATGCTTTTACTATGTTTATTCGTGGCTCTGGTAGTATTGGTAGTTAAAAGCTTGACTGTGATGGCAGTTATAGTCGCGACTGTATTGGAATGGTAGTATCAGATCCTCTTTCTGTGCGACTACTATGGACGACTATCGTTTCCTCATACTTATTTTTTCCATATTCGGTGATTTTGTTGCTATAAGCGATGGCGGCATCTCTTTAATTTCCGATTATGACTGCTGACATTGAAAATGTATGAAATATATTATATTTGCTGCTGAAACCCACAATTCAAATGGCAATAACAATGATTTTGATAAGGATGGATAAAAGCAGCATGATTTTTAATGCTTCAAAGGTTCGCTTAATAATGCTCACGAAAAGAGATTTTGGAATGATGCTATAGTGTTAGTGGTTTTGATGCAGGTGTTATCAGCGATATATCGGCATGGTTGCCATCTTCGTTGTTCTTACTTAATGCTTATAAAATATACAAATATTCATAAAAACGATGACGATGATAATAAATATAGTTGTGTATCGATTAGCTTTACACTAATATAATCGTTATTTACATGCACGTACAATGTGTGTAACCTTGCGAAAAATTGCGGCTACTGTCGTAAGATAAAGCGATATCAATTTAGCAACTGACAGATACAAGTAATGAATGACAGTAAATATGTTTTTATTATAATCGAAATAATTGTTATATTTAAAATATTTGCAATGAAAGAGATCGCATTAATATTTATAGCTCTTTATTCAACGACTGAATCAAGAAATTTCTATTTTTGATCAGATATACAAATATAAACATAAGAAGGCTCAAATAAATGTATGCGTATGTATGCATCTGCGTTTGTAACCTTGTTTGTATTTACAATTATAGAATTTATAGGAATATATGTCAGTTTAAGTGGATGGCAATTTTGACAATAAACAGACAAAGATGCAAGTAAAAACAGAATCCACGTAATTACAAAAGCCTTCTCTTCCAGTTGTTGTTGCGCTTTATGTTGTTGCCGCTGCTGCTGTTATTGTTGTTGTTTCCACATGCTATTGTCTTCATCTTAGATACAAAATACTCTGTCTGGTTTTATACCAATTTTCATTCTTGTTTGCATCCATTACTTGTGTCTTATTAATCTTTGCTTCTGCATTTTTTTTTTTTGTTTTTGTTTTTTTTCCAAAGATTTTTCGACAATCCGGTAATTGTTGTTGTCAGTTAAGAGGATATACACGGCACGACAACAACCACGGCGGCAGAGGCTGTGGCGGTAGAGTAAGAGGCGGTGTAGCCGCTCTAGTAGCAGCAGCAAATAAAATGTTGTAACGGAGAAGACAGTGGCGACAATACAGAGAAGCAAGATGTCGAAGATGAGAATAGAAAATATGGCTGTGAGAGCAAGAAAAATTAGGGTCTGTTCCAACGGAAAGTGTGACAGCGTGTGTATAGAATGATTAATAGCAATTGTTTAAGCAGAAAACATACAATTTTAGAAGATAATGGCACCACTTTTTATCGATATGAAAAGTAAAATGAAACAAGAAAACTATAAGGATTTGCGATAGAATTACTTGTAATATTGATGTTAGTAGTAGAAGTAATATCAATACACAGCAGCAACAACAGCAATAATAACAATAATAATCAGTAAAGTTGTGAAAACTCAAAGAATAATAATAAAATAATCCCAATGAAAAGGTCAGTAGATATGTAGTGCTGTAACAAATGACTCAAGAAAAAAATGAAAAGATCAGGAGCAAAAAAAAAAAAGAAAATGAAAGTGAAAGTAGAACTACTTGATCTACTTCTATTTCTTTTAGAGTAGTAGCAATAGCAGTTGTAATGATAAACCTTGAGAATGATAAAGTTATGCAAAACGGCAACGACAAAAGCAGCAGTCTTTCTTTCTGCCATTCCGTTTACATTTGAACAATATGTAAGTTATCCGTTTTATTTCTTTTTACATGATTGATATACACAAGTATAAACATGCTACTGCCTTCATAATCTGCCTAATGATTGGAACACACACACAATTGTAATTACGTATATATTCATACATAAAAAGAACTCTAGGTATAAATCTTTATTGCACAGTAAGTTAGTTTTTAAGTTAATATTTACATACAGTGATGCAAACTCCAATCCATTCTGTATATGTGTATGCACTTACATGTACCAAAGTTGTGGTGCATTTAGGCTTATTTTCTTCAATCAAAGTAATTTTAGATTTGCGGTTTTCTTTTTTTTTTATCTGCATGAAAGAAAATCATAACACAACGCATTTAAAACTGAAATTGAAAATTCTACCGAAACAATTCAACTTTTAAAAATGTATTCCCGATTGATTTAATCATTTTTAAATTAGTGCACGTATCTAAAATTGTTTAAACTCATTCAAGAACAAAACATTTTATCGATAAATGAACAAGTTAAAATTTATACCATCTTCAAAAATAAAAGATGAAAATAAAAATCCAAATAATAGGTGACGCAAAAAATGTTAGGTTGAGAAAAAAATTGATTACTTATAATTATATTTTTCATCCTATAAAATTTTAAGTTGTCTAATAAACAAATATTTCCATTTTTCATATTATTGGTGATAAGCTAGCTATATATATGATTTGTGATATTACAGGAGGTACTTATTAAAAATGATCACAAATGAAATTCTGGTGATAGAGTAAATTGGACCATTAATCATCGCTGTATTTTAGAAGCCACTGCATTTGAACGCGGTCCACGGAGTCAAGGTTTCGACCTTTGTAATTGACCAGGCACCAGGTAAATTTTTCTATCCTAATAAAATAGGTTGTTTACCGATGTCCTAAATCACAATTATATATGTGCGCGCGCACACACACACACACATACTTACATGAATCCATATATATATATATATATATATATATATATATATATATATATATATATATATATATATATATATCCTTTAGTCACCTAATAATTCAGTATGATCATTGACGCCTCTCTGACGTGAACTCTTTTGCAGTATAATGATTCATCGATGTCTGGAAAGAAAAAGACTTATTCAGATAAAGTTAGCTGATACGCATACAAGCAAGTAAATTTTATGTTTTGATAATAGCAATAAAGTATTTAGAAATTATATTTGTCAGTCTTTTTTCTTACTTACTGAGGATATTGAAATTCCACGGCTACTATCAAATATATCTCATTGCTACAATAGTTTTATTAAAGTCATATATTATCTATCAAATTTATATATTTGCGTACCTAAGATAATTGAACATTTCATGTATCAAAAACTTTTAATTTAAAAAAACAAAGCAATAGATATTAAAATTCAAAACGTAACTGCAAATCAAATTGTCCATAAGTAGTTTCTGACAATGAATCGTATCATTTTTTATTCTAATTATTTAAAAAAGAATAAAAACCATACGATGATCAAAATACATTTTTTTATTATTTAACATTCTGAATTTTTATAAACAATGCCTTTCGTGGGATTTGAGCTCATATTAGAATTGTAGCAAGTACGACTGAGATACCATCGTTTAAATAGAAATTAATGGTCTAATAATTTTGATAACTTATTTGCCTATTTGCGTATATTGGAGAGAATTGCGAAAACGAAATTAATATTTTCACATATTAATTTGTATTTTCTATCTCAAACTAAGTGCCTTCCACAATCGTTTTAACTTTTGTTGAAAATTTCACTAGTTTTGAGGAGTTATTTTGACATATTCTAGTGAAATGCGCCATTTTGTGTCGGCATGACCCACCTGCTGCAAAAAGAAATTATTCTTTTCCAGCATAATTTATAATAAAAAATAGTGAGCTATTAAATTTCAATAATATGTTTTATGAGGTAGTCATCAAATCTAGTTTTAAAGTTTTCCTATATGTATAATTAAAATTTGATTTTGGTAATATAACGGATTTTGGTTTAATATAACGAGTATATTTTAGGGAATTTTCTTCATATTTAACATATTTATACACATTTTTGTATTTTGAGTGTATCCACAATTTAGATTAAGTTCTTTAAACTATGTGAGTTTTGTTAGTTGCATTATTGTATATTTTGCTTTGGTGTCTCATGGGTTGCATTTCCGAGGTTGTTTTATTGTAGCTGTTTTATATTTAATTTGTGTAAATGCTTTTCCCTGATCATATAACAATAAATTGCAAAAACTGGCGTTATTTTAAAAATATGTAATAGATTTTATATACATCTCAAAGGATTACAACAAAAAACACAGATCATATATACAAAACAGAATGATGCCAAAGACCTTTTCATTAAAAAGGAATCATGGGTATCAACAAGTCACCAAATAAAACTTGTTATAAATGCATGCGCGTGCACACATAATGTGTGAATTCTGGTATATGTGTATGCGTGTTTGTGCATTCCCCCTTGTTTGCTTTCCTTTTTTTTATTTTAAACTAGCAATGTTACTATTTCTTCTGTTTTTGTGAATGTTGCCCTGTCACATGATTATGTTAATAATTTGGGTTTATTAAAATTTGCCATTGTCAATTGTTTGCTCGTTAGCATTAACTATATGCTATACTTGGTATGTTTTTTTTTATCTCAATCTAGATATATCAAATTACTTAGACTTGTTTCTTTCATGTTTTTTTAATATAGGTTGGTATTAGTGTAAGCATTTCATAGTTATATTTATTTATTCATTCCTTTAATATCTATAACTATATCATCATTATCATCTGTCACCTTCTCATGGAAAATTGATTGAATATTTAGCAATTTTTCTTTTAATTACGTTGAAATAACATTTTCCAAACTGTCGTGTGCATGGCGTTCTTTTCTAAAGGCCAAATCATAATTCAACTTTCATCCAGAAATGGAGGCCTAACTCAAATCTCATCGTTCCATTGGGAATGAACGGTTTTAATTTCGGATTGATTTTTGCGCTAGTTCACAGCTTAAGAATTTTTTGCTTTTTACATTTGGAATAAATATAGTTTATTTAATTAAAGTAAGTATAATATTTATTTCTTTTATTTCTTTCAGACTTACCATATTATTTTATGCTTTCATCGTAAAACTAAACTTTTTGTGCGAAATTCACTAAAAAATTTAATTTAACAAACATTGTCTTGTTACTTGAAAGTTAATTCTGTATTTTTCACAGCAAATTTAATATTCTTCACTATGATTTTTTATGATTAATTTGTTTCTTTCTGAAAAGTATTTTATTTCTGTTTAAAAGTTATTTTATTTCTTTCTAAAATGTATTTTTTAAAATATGCTGAGTTTTAGTTTAGTTTACCTTTAAAAACATAAAAAACAGCAAACATGATATTTTACATTATAAAATTAATGAAAAATCATTTATTAATGCCACAATTAAATTCAATAATATTAATCCTATATTTTATATTTTTAAATGAGGTGTACAAAACGTTATCACTGCTGATAATTATTTTACGTATTTTAAGTATTATTTTTTCACTTCTATAATCATGAAAAGTATATTAATGACAAAATAAATCTACATAAAATTTTTTTAAAGTTACTTTCATGTTTATTTTTTTCATGTCATATTTTCGTTCCATCATTCATAGTTTTGATATGGTTTTTGTTTCATTAAAACTATTTTAACGTAGATTAAATGTTAAAATGCATATAACATTTCGTACACCTTTGTTAATGTGTTGGTAAGTCATGAGTCCAAAGTTCCAACAAATTATAAATCAACTGTAATTAAGATCTTAGCTAAGAAAAGATATACCAAGATAAAGAGGATTAAATTTCAAGCCAAATTAATTAGGCTCACTTTTTATGTGAATTTCTTACCGTAAACCCAAAGTAAAAAAAACAAACAAACTACACTCTCAATGGAACGAGGAAATTTGATATCGGCCCCATTTCTGGGTGGGAGTTGCGCTATGACTTGGCCTTTAGTAAAGAACACCATGTTCATGGGCTTATGTTTCAATGTATACTTTTTTTCAAGATATGTACCAACGCCAGAACTAAAAATTTGGCGTCTGACACTTAATTATTTCAATATGTATGCAGGTGTATTTGAACAAGGTTCTGGAATACACACACACACACACACACACACACACACACATATATATATATATATATATATATATATATATATATATATGGGGGGGTAAAAGATTATATACATTTCGAAAAGAGTATATACATTCCTCTGCCTTTCTGTATATTATGTATTTTTATGTAAAAACAACATCTACTCGCCATGTGCAATTGTCTATGCACAGTGGAGAACAGATTTTACTCGTTAATAGTGTTAACTCGCTTATCACATTGCAACCTCTGTTTGGAATTCGGTCTTTACAGTAACTAATAGGATACAATAAGTGGACTGAATAACGGTGCATTCTGT